CTTGGGAAGGGTTTATTACCATAGCGTTGCTGGACAATAACTCTGAACAACCCGGACGACCAATGCCTACGGCAAGCCCAGAGAGTCCCATTTGAACGCGGCATTGGGAACCGCCCCCCCGTAAGTTGAGAACTCACCGCTGCATGGCGGGCCGAGCGCCCTACACCTCCACCCCTCCTCGAGGTCGAGGTCCAAAATGGCCTCTTTGTGGTCCGGGTTGCGGAGCAAATCTGGGTGGGCTAGGAAGAGCACCTGGACGGCCTCGGCGACCTCCAACAAGCGGGGGGCAACTGGAGGAGCGGCAGGAGGTGACGGGGCATGGCAAGCCCAGTCCGCGGCAACGCGGGCCTGGTGCAGGGTGCCTGCCAGGTGAGTGGGGCAGTGGACCTCCAGTGCCCTGCAGACAGGGCACAGACGGCGGTGCTCCGCCTCAGTGTAAACTGCCATGGGCTCCTGCAGGTGCCGGTCCTCCAGGGTGTTGCCCCGGAAAGGCTCGAGGACGGTCTCTGGGGTGTGCTACGCTCGGGCTGTGGCTGCTCTCCAGCGCAGCCTCGTTGCCCAGCCCACTGGACGGTCCTCCGCCAGCACCATCCAAGTCGCGACGCTGGCTTGCTCGTGGCACGGCGGAAAACGCGCCGCCAAGCGCCTGAAGTGAAAGGCGCGGCGGGCCCGATCTTCGTGGAAGGGGCGATCCTGCGACAGCGATCCGGAACGGACACATAAAAAGCGAATTAACAGGTCGGGTTGCAATATGCCAAGCAAGTTCAGAGGCACTCGCAAACAAAATTGCCCCACTGTGAAAACAATGGGCAGACTTGCGGGAAGGAGATGGATCCTCTCTCCCCCCCTCTCTGTGAAGAGAAGCACAGCCAACCAAAAAGGATATAAACAAATGGGTGTTGGGTCACCAGGGGTGCAGGTTGTACCGCCTGGGTGGTGTTCCACGGTCCAAGGGCTGGCTGGGAGCTGGCCGGCCCGGAACCTGCGAAACAGCTGCTGGCTCGAAGTAACGCTTTAGCTCAGACACATGAATTGGTCCGTATTGCTGTGTGCCATGCAATCGGTCTAAACGGCAGTTCAGCAGAGAAACCTTTTCAGTTATGCGAAAGGGTCCATCCCAGCAGTTCGCGAGAGATGCTGCGAAGCCTTTTGACGAGTTGCTGAGGGGGTGCGTCCAACGAAGTACCAGGTCTCCAGCCTGAAATTGAGCGTCGCGGCGGCCCTTGTCGTACTGGGCGACTTGTTGAAGACGAGCGACATCGAGGTTTTCTCAGGCTTCGTGAACAACCGACAAGTGTTGGCGATATGCCTTGAGCGAACTGCATGTACAGGCGACTATTCTGCGCAATACCTGTAGGTAAAATTGAGTTTTCTTTTAGGAAGGTTAGCTCGTTACTATGGATAAGTATTCATTTATACATATGCGATTTTATTGTCAAGAAACAGCGTAATATCTACGGTATGCGTGATGGGAGTTTGTCACTGAGTGGGGTACTGAATTGAGTAAACCTGATAAAAGAAACACTTCGTGCTTAAACCAGAAATTACTTAAAAAGAATAGAAATGCTAGGTTCGGACTGGTGACAAACGATAGGTCCATGCCCGGTGTGAAAATGAATAGAGGCGACAGCATGCACGGGTTAAAACTAAAACAAGAAATTTAATTAGGCGATAAAAAGCCACGCACAACAACACTACAAAACCATCAACACGAAATGAGAACATGTGTTACTCCAACACACTCGCGAACCTTCGCCCTCTGACGTCAAAACAAAAGCACATGGACTATGAAACAGAGCGTTTATACATATGCGATTTTTTTGTCAGTCTTATGACAAGCGATAAATCCACGTCCGGTGTGAAATCAACAAAGAGGCGACGGCACGCAGGGGTTAAAAGAAAAACAAGAAATTTAATTAGGCGATAAAAGGTTGAGCACGGCGACAACACAACAAAACTATAGGAACGAAATGCGAACACGCGTTACTTCAACAACACACTCATGAACCTTTGGGCCGCAAAGAAAACAAGACGGCACTCAATGCCCGACACAACGCAAAACAATGCGCCGCTCGCGACACAAACTGCAGCTGGAAAACAAGTTCGCCAGTGCAAAGAAGATGAAAGTTCAGAAAAAGGAAAGTTTCCACTGCGGGACCCAAAGTCCAGACGAAAGTTTAAAGAAGACTGATCAACGTCTTGGGTCCGACGAACGACGAAGGCTTCACTTGCCTGGCGTGGTGGACTGGTTGCTCAGCGGCCGACGCGACGTAACACAGCAATGCACACACACACTTCCGGAAAAGGAAAAACCGATGCCCGTAGGCAAACATGCCACTAAGGGCGAATGCCGAAAAGGCAAAACTAGAGCAACCTGCCCAAAAGAATTCCCAAAAAACTGAGTCGCATACTGGGAGGAGCCACGTCGGGCAGCGCCCTGGCCAGCTCCGGGGCTCGACCACGTCCTTTGGTCCCAAACCCCCTTATATAGCCTCTTCTACCGAAAACATAGCCAGAGCAGAGGGCTTGAGGGAAAGAAGTAGAGCAGCGCTGACGTCGCATTCTCTCAGGCCACCATGTTTTGCGAGACGAGGAACGAAGATTGACGACGAGGCGAGAGAGAGAGGAGGCGCCAAAGGAAGCGGAGAGCGTTTGCTTAAGGTCTCAGTGCGTGGAGCTGTATGGCCTCCCTCCGATGGTGCATCTAGCGCGGCAATGCACTGGTGCCGCGCACCGCAAGAAATTCCTGACGAACTTGATGCAGCCGCACCGACACGGCCAGGCGAACGTGACTCCTCCTTCGGTGCAGGGAAGTGTGGTGCGGTGCGCCCCAGACAAATGTGACATAAGGTCGACATATAAAACCTCACCTAACCTAACCTGTTGGAGGATGGTGAAGGTGTTCTTCTTGCTTTTAGCTCGAGCATCTCTTGACATTTTCAAAGCGGAAAGAAAGCCAAGCTGTCAAACACACCATCCCTTTTTGCAAAAGCAACACTGCCCCTTGTTTTTAGTCCAATTGTCACGACTACTGATTTGCAATGTAGTCATGGCCCTTGAGGGCCAGTATAGACATGCTCAAAACATCCGCAGGGAGCTGATTGGACGTTGTTCCCTCTGTGGGAACTCGTCTGGCTACAAGGCCCTCCATGATGCACTGCTGCTCCAACTTGGTGGAAGGTTTGCCATGCATGGGATCAGAGCCAGGATGTTTCTGTTTTGGTAGAAAAGTACTGTGGTTGTTTTTTCATCTTTTTGTTGTGAGGAATTAACCTAGGTTTTGGAGAAATCTTATCTGGAGGAGTAGTTTCATCTGGAGCAGAGTCAAGTAGTTCTTGAGCCTTGGTAAGGTATTTAACATCAAGGAACTTGAAGTATAGTTGAACGTGAGCACGTTGGTTTTGATAACTTGTTACAGAAAGAATAAACAAAAACGATGGACAAGGACGGACATCTTATTGGAGAAGGAAGAAATGACAAGTCCACTCCAGTCATTGCTCAACGTATCTTGTCCTTTGGATCTGGTTGTCTTCTGCACGCCCACCTTAACCCTTTGATGCCCAAAACTTTACTTTAAAGGGGCACTGACACCCCAAAGGTCGTATTTATTTTTATTGTCTAAAACGATGCAAGTTGCAGTCATAAACATGCAAAAAAAACCGCATCGCAAAAAAAAATTTTCCCGCGCGCGCGCGCGCCTTTTTATTTTTGGCGTTTGATTTTCCCGCCTCTCGCCTCCTCGCTTCTTTTGATCGGTGACGTCAAGAATCATGAAATTTAGAAGCTTTGTAGGCGACATCTCTATAACATTTAATTACGGCAATCCTAAAACATGTTTTTTAACGCAATTGCGAACGCACTACGGCCCTTCTTTTTGAAATACCAAAAATCGGGAGTTCGTTGTGGTGCCGTCTCCTGGATTTGTATCCTCCAACGGAAAACGGGCGACACCGCTCAAAACCGGTCTGACGGAACGCCACCGCTCGCTCCTTTCCCCCTCGCTTTGGGTCGCCATGGCAACAGCAGGGAGTGGTGAAAGAAAGGGGACTCTCAGGTCTCCTCAATTTTTGACGTCAAGGCACCGGCGCCGATCGCGCGGGAACTTCGAATTCGGCATTTGGAAATTGTTTTTTTATTTCACGAACACTGAATTCCCAAATTTCAAATTTTGAGGGTAATGTCCCGGCATCGTTTTCAATCGTTTCGGATAATAAAAAAAAATATGATTTTGATGTGTCAGTGCCCCTTTAAGTCCTGCACACCTACAAACTTTGGTACAGATTTAGAACAGACAAAAAAATAAAAACCTGGTCTCAGAAAAAAATTACCTTTATTTGTGAACACATAGTGCAGCAACGTTGGGCATCTGCGGCACTACTTCACGTGAAATAAGTGAAAACAGTTGCGACTTGGGAGAAGGCACAGGCACAGGAACGTGTAACCAGTTTTGCAGTATTTGCACCTGCTCTTCTTCTCAGTGTACTGAGGCCAGTGGTGCGTTCCATCATACCTCACATCATCTGTCGGTCTTGGCTTTAGTGGCCGAGCGATCTTGCTTGGAGGTGCATTTTCATTTTCCACTGTGTCTGACCTTCTCTTCAAAGGCTTGGCCTTCACGTGTGCCAGGGCTTGTGCGATTTGAGCACGGAAAGCGAGCAGAGAGAGCCTTCTTTTTATGCAGAGTTGCGTGCAGTGTCGCTTGTACAGGAGCCAACCATTTACAATAGACACGTCAATGATCCAATAGAATATGCGTATGTACCACTTTTTTGATTTGTGATCTGTGCGGTACAGCTCAATGAGCATGTCTGCCAAGTCGACGCTGCCCATAAAAGTGTTATACTCCTTGACAGCAAGAGGGCGTAAAACGTCAACCATGCATTTGTCTTTGCTGTTCTACCGCTTGCACGTGTCGGTTGGGTGGACTCCAGCATAACTGGATACTAGTGTCACGCAATTGTTGTCAACCCACTTTATCACTTCGATCTCCGTTTTTTCATTCATTTGGAAGTCCACGGAGCCTCTTTTTCCTGCGCTTTCAGGGCGGCGTCAGAAGAAAGAGGACATTTTTCTGTTCGGTCTGCTCTCACGGTCCCTATGCAATGGAACCCTTTAATCTTCAGTTCATCGACGAGGCGAAGACTGGTAAACCAATTGTCAAAGAACAACTTTTGGTTTACGTGTTGTGGCAAAGTTTTCACCAGATCGATGACAATATCCCCCGAGATGCCGAACCCATTATCCGAAGCCGTTCCTTTTCCTTCGTAGATTATGAAGTCGTGCATCATTCCAGAAAAACTCTCTCTCGTGAATACTTTGTATCCCCACTTGTGGGGTTTTGACTTGAGATATTGCTTGAGGTGCGATCTCCCCTTGAAGGGGATGATCTGCTCATCAATACTTTGTCGTTCATCTGGGGCCACCTTGCTCATGTTTTTTCTCAGCTCATCGAGTAGCGGGCGCACTTTGAAAAGGCGGTCGTAACCGTCTGTGCCCTGCGGCAGCGCCTGGAGGTTGTCATTCATGTAGAGGCACTGATGAATTGCCTCGAATCGGTTCGACATCACATCCGCTACCGGCGCAAAACGCGTTCCAGAATGCCAGAACATCCGGAAATGTGGCATGCGGACTATTCCCGAGATGACCAAGATTGACAGATACTTTCGCATCTCTTCATGTGTCACACTGATGCAGTTGCCATTTCTTTGTGTCGAATACAGATTTGTTTGATAGTGAAGCGCGTCTATCATTTCATTGTCAAAAAACATAGAAAAGCACTCAAATGGACTGAGCACATCTTCGGGCGGTTCTGACAGTTTGACTTTCCAGCTGCAATCCTCAATAGCCAGGTCCTTCTTTTTCCAAATCCTTGAAGACTTTTTTTGTTTCGTTTTCTTCCCGTTACTTGAATTAGCGGAAGGTTTGTGCGGTAGCTCTCCTGACAAGACCGCTTGATGTATAGTTTCTTTTGACATGTGGTGCCTTGTGGTCGCCAAGACTGGCTTCCCTCGTTGTATTCTTCTTTCCAGAAGTAGCAGAAGTACGCGCCGACATTTCAGAAGATCCGCTCGGCGCGTCATTGCTCTCAACTTGTGGCTCCTCGAGGTCGCGAAGGCTGGTCACAATTTCAAGGGGGCAGGTTTCAAGAAACCTGCGATCTTGCCTTGGATCATACTCAAGGTCGTCAGGGTCGCTGTCGAAATTGATATCCGATATATCTCCATCCGGAAGGAAAATTATTTCTTGGATCTCCTCATCCGTCAGTTGTCTACGTGGTCTGGATCTTTCCATCTAGAGACAAACATTTATATATTTTTTAATTCTTTGTGCAAAAATCAATTACCATAAATGACATTCATATTTGAAGATTTTAGCCGCGGGTAACCCCTAACAGATACGCCACCGATTTTTCGTTACCAATACCAATGCTACCCACATATGCCCGATGTTGCTCCTGGGCAACATCACGGTTGTCAGGCTGGTACTGAGTTCTCACAAAATGTAAGTTCATTTTCACTGCACATACGTCTCTTTTAGTCATTCAGTATGAGATTTCAATCAAGGATTTGTTGCATTATCACATCCTGCAGTTGTTTTCATCGAAGTTCACTCACCTGGTACAGTGGCGGGACGAGGTCGCTCGCCGGTCCACACACGTGTAGCAGATAAGTGAAGCGGACAAGTGCCGCCCTCTGTTTTTTATTTCTAGAGACTCGGGTCGCCTCAGCCTTGCGAAGTTAGGCGGAATGTAGGGCAATAATTACTGACTTGGTGCCTAGATGGCGATAATTGCATAGATTTGCGCATTTCGGGGGAGAAAAAAAATTGGGTTTGAGTTGTTGCTCCTGAGCAACGCTGGGCGTCAAAGGGTTAATACTCTGCTGAATGTCATCCAAGAGAAACTGTGGCTCATCATCCGACGTAAAGCCTGTTGCATCACATACTGAAGGCACTTCTACATCTGGCTCAGTATCGGCCTCCTCCACGGTCTTTGCATGAGGCCCCTGGTAAGCTATTGCGTGAATGTGCTTGCACATTTAAGCTGAGATCAGGCTGTCATTGCAAGTGAACTTGTAACTGTTGATACAGATGTCACAGTCCTTGCAGCGAAGCACTCAACTCTGGCAGTGGCCGCCCTTCTCAACACTAACTTCTCTCTGCCTGGGACTGTAACTTTACAAGCCGGTCACTGTCATTTTCTAGCTGTTTGTTCCTACATCTGACACATCATTTTTATCCCTTCCTGGTGCCTCGGAAGAAGGGCTGCATCATGTTGATTTGTTTTTCCTTTTACGAGCGACTTGAGACGTGTGTAGAGGCAGTCACGTGTCAGTTTAAAGAGGATCATTAAGAGGTTGTCAAGCCTCTGGTTGTGAGTTCCACGCATGTAGTGTGACTTTAAGTCCTTGTGCATTGCCTCCAAGTGATTGTATTAAAAGGAATGCCCTTTCTGAAGCAGAGCACCCACTGTTCTGCTATGTCACCATAGTAGCACTCAGAGTACTGAAGAAACTCTTCAACTTGTTGAATTAGTTTCGGATCAGCCTCTTCACTTGCCTTTTGACGGAGAAAGTATGTGAGAGCCCACTGGAATTGATCTTCATCTCTGCAATTTCTCAGCGCCCACAACTCATTGTGAAGACGGTCATGGGTTTGCTTATCTTTGACTAACTGCAATTTCAGAGTTCAGTTGCCATTTACACGCCAGGAGCAGGGCATCGGATGTTGGGCACGGCCCATCACTTCCTCCCATGCATTACCATATCTGACAGCATCATCAGATGTGAATGCTTTGCATTCGTGGTTTCCAGTTTTTTTCTTTATCTCCTTAAAGAAGCATTTCATAGTCTCTGTGTCTAGTTTCTTTGGGATCAAATATGCACATGGCATGCCCGATTGATCTTCTGCAACTGTTTTGAGGTCGTCAGTTGCAGATTGGGACCATTTGTTTTATGAGTGGAGTCACTGCGCAGGAACTTTGGGCCCAACTTTGTGAAGAGTTCTTTCTGAAGGGCAGTCATCAGGGCAAGCTCAAAGGTCTCTTTTCCTTCCTTCATGTCAAAGTACAGCACCTGGGAGTCAGGCTGTTCGTTGAGCTTCTCCACCCATATTGCGACACTTTTAAATTGATTCTTGTGCCATCGCTCTTTGGTCAGAATTTAATGTTTACTGAGATGTTGCCAATGACTTTCATTGAGAGCAAAAAAAAGCCTGCCCATCTAACTGCCAGTGGAAGAACGTGCATCTACCAGAACTTGTCAGGCTGGGACGTCTTGCTTGAGCTCGAGCCTGATGAGATGGTCGAGCATCTTTCAGTCGAGAGGGGCTGGTGCTTCGGTCCCTTGAGGTGGCTGTAGTGTTCTGCCTGGTACTCTACCGTCACTTTGCCATCATTTTATGTTACTTGAATTGTGGCTAAACACTGCACATTAGTCTTACAAGTGCCCTGGGTTTTCTATTGCCATTTACCTTGCCTCTCACTCTGAAATAATCCAGAGCGGTGACAGTGGGGTACCTTTTCAGGACATCATTTCGCCTTCTTTTGGCTCCACCTTCCTCTCTGCCTTCCTCAGCCTCCCTCACCCTCCCTCCAATCACTGAAGTTGGCAGGCAGAGAAGAAAGCTTGAAATAAAACGGCCTGAATAAACAATGGTACATCATTCACATTAATACTTTCCCGCTTCAAGACATTTTTCATGTTTGCTTCACTAAATGTACACCTTAGTCAGACTTAGCTATATTATGCAGTCCATGGTTTTTCTGTGCTCCCAACATTCAGCACAGACATGCTCGAAACATCCACAGGGAGCTGAATGGATGCTGTTCTCCTTCTGTGGGAACTTGTCTGGCTACAAGGCCCTCCATGATGTGCTGCTGCTCAAAATTTGTGGGAAGTTTGCCATACATGGAACCACAACCAGGATGTTTCTTTTTGGTGGAAAAGTATTGTGGTCATTTTTTCATCTTTTTGTTGTGAGGTAATAACCTAGGTTTTGGAGAAACCTTGGAGAAGTCTCATTTGGAGCAGAATCAAGTTGTTCTTGAGCCTTGGTGAGGTATTCAAACATCAAGGAAATTGAAGAGCTTGTCAATTTCTTCCTGGAGAGGGACTTGTTCAGCCCACTCATTGCTCAACGTATCTTGTCCTCTGGATTTGGTTGAGTCTTCAGCATGCCTACCTCAATACTCTGCCAAATGTCATCCAAGAGAGACTGTGGCTCATCGTCCTACATAAAGCCTGTTGCATCACATGTTGATGGCACTTCTACATCTGGCTCAGTGTCGGCCTCCTCCACGGTCTTTGTATGAAGCCCCTGGTAAGCTACTGCGTGAATGTGCTTACACATTGAAGCTGAAATCAGGCTGTCATTGCAAGTGCACTTGTAACTGTCGACACAGATGTCACAATCCTTGCAGCGAAGTACTCAACTCTGGCAGGGGTCGCCTTTCTCAACAATAACTTCTCTCTGCCTGGGACTGTAGCTTTCCAAGCCGACCACTGCCATTTTCTAGCTGTTCTACATCTGACGCGGGATTTTATCCCCTCCTGGTGCCTCCGAAGAAAGGCTGCCTCATGCCGATTTGTTTTTCCTTTTACGAGCAACTTGAGATGCGTGTAAAGGCAGTCACGGGCCAGTTCGAAGAGGATCATTAGCTTGTCAAGCCTCTGGTTGCAAGTTCCATGCATGTAGTGTGACTTCAAGTCCTTGTGCATTGCCTCCAAGTGGTTGTTTGTATTAAAAGGAATGCCCTTTCTGAAGCAGAGCACCCACTGCTCTGCTATGCCACCATAGTAGCGCTCAAAGTACTGAAGAAACTCTTGTTGAATTAGTTTCGGATCAGCCTCTTCACTTGCCTTTTGACAGAGAAAGTATGTGAGAGCCCACTGGAATTGATCTTCATGTCTGCAATTTCTCAGTGCCCACAACTTATTGTGAAGACGGTCATGGGTTTGCTTATCTGTGACTAACTGCAATTTCAGAGTTCAGTTGCCATTTACACGCCAGGAGCAGATCATCCGATGTTGGGCATGGCCCATCACTTCCTCCCATGCATTACCATACGTGACAGTATCATGAGACGTAAATGCTTGGCATTCGCAGGGGTGGAAGCGCTGCGCCAATTGCGCCACCCTGCGCCAATTCACTTCCCTGCGCCAGCCTGCTCCAAAACGCCAATTTCAACTTTTTTCTTTTTTTTAGTGTTTTCTCTAAATTTAGCGGAAAACGGTTGGCCACGGGCCACCATGTGGTGTGTACTTTTGCTTAGGTGTCACTGCGGGTGACTCGTACCAACTCGACTGGGGCTCCGAACCATGTCTAACCTCAGGGTGAGGCGCCGATTTTAGTTCATCGAGAGTGCGATGTCGTTTTTTTACTACAAAGAGCTTGATATACGAACACATCGGTTTGGTTTCGGGCATAGTTGGTTGGCGCGGTTGGAGGGCGCATGCAGTTGCCCGTGGTCCCGATTTTCGTGATCGTGGGAGTTGGTGCCTCGGCACCGGTGGGCTACCTTGGCCATTAACATGAGCAGAAGTAAGTGGTCTTTACTAGCTTTACCTGTTATTTGGTAGCCTACCATATTTGGACGCTTAGCCGTGAAGAATCGCGAGCACAGGCACATCCGTTTTCGAGCTCAATTTGTCTTATCAAAACGAAACCAAAACCATCATTGTGTGCACGAATGTGCACGCTGTCGTGTGTTGTCTCCCGCCGTCAGGCCACTATCGAAAACAATACCCGCGATCTTAAGCGAGTTGGTTAATTGGCAGTGCTACACACTTTTTTGTTTCTTTCCTTTAGCGTGGAGGAGTGGGGGTGACATCAGAAATGCCGTACAACACTCCCGCGCTGCCGATTCCTGTCAAGAACGTACCTTAACTGCTATAGCCACCCTACTCGTATAAGTTTCGGGTATAGGTGTATCTGGTTGGGGGGGGGGGGGGGGGGGGGGGTTGGGTAGGGTAGAGAG